ATTTGGTTATGTGTGTTATGCCAGTATTGTTGCTAAAGAAAAGAAACATCGAACTATCACGGACTATTTTAAGCTGCACAAATTAGCACCAACCGTTGACTGGGACCTACAGACGCAGAGCTCACGAATGACGCATGGAATGAACTAAAAGACAAAATTAACTGGGTCATACAATCAGCATCGGAGGTTGTACCATTACGGGCATTGCGCCGGACCAATACGTGGATCCGGAGCAGAACACGTAAATGGATCAACATGGGAGATGAAATCTGGTGGCACCATTCGCTAAGTCCATGTGATATCACATAGCAGAATTACAAAACAATCAGAAACTACTGCACGTCGCTCGTTAGAGTCGATAAGTACGAACGGCAAGAGACCATGATGCTGAAATTTACGAGTAACACCAAAATACTATACAGACTTGTGAATGACAAAAAAACGGTTAAGCCCGGAGTACCACTACTCAAGACGGCCAGTGGCCTAACAAATACTGCTGTGGTCGCCGCAAAAGCTCTACTCCGGCAGTTTGGCTCGGTCGCTACAAATACCATGGACCATTTGCCCTATCAACTCCGAGCAAATATCATTGGCTTATCCAGCGTCATCTTTACTCCAGCAGCCGTTGCAAGCAAAGTACAGTCTCTCCGGGAGTACAGTACTCCTGGAATCAACATTATCTGCCCAAAAGTACTGAAAACCCTTTTTGCCACCATAGCAGCACCACTTGCAACCTTTTTCCAGGGTCTGTTCAACTCCCATACACGCTGATATGAGTGGAAAAATGAAATTATCACTCCACTATACAAAGGAGATAAGCGATCGGATCCTGCCAACTACCGACCTATTACACTCTTTCCTGTTTTATCCAAAGTGATGGAATCGGTAATCGCAGATGAACTGACGCGATACTTTGAAAGTCTACAAATAATTTTTAATGCTCAACATGGTCTCAGACGCAGACCATCATGTCTCACCAATTCGCTGATTACTCGGGACTCATGGAGCAGGGCGGCTGATGAAGGAGTCCCCATAGATAGATTGTTCTAAAGCATTCGACAGGGTCAATAACTTCTTTCTCCTCCAAAACCTTGCTGCCTATGGTATCAACCTTTTCTTGGTTAGAAGACTACTTACACGACAGAGCATTCAAGGTAAGAGTAGCCGACACTCACTCTGCAAGCTTTTGCGTCTCCAATGGTGTACCACAAAGATCCGTCCTCGGCCCGCTACTGTTTTTAGTCTACATTAATGAGCTTACAGGGGACATTCTATCTCCGATGCAAATATTTGCAGATGGTACTACAATATGGAGGGCAACTCGCTCAGCATCCGACCGTGACTACCTCAGGAAGATCTGACTCGGAGTAACGAATGAGTAGGAAGGAACCAGCTCCCCCTGAATCCTGCAAAGTTCCACCTGCTGACGGTGCGCACAGCTTCGTCAACACATACCTTTTGGGACAACACGTCCTGCAACATGTGACTAGTGAAGGCAACTTAGGCACAATCTTGCAAGAGAGTCTCGGCAATTCGCTCCAATGTTTGAAAGTAGCAAGTGTGCCGAACTTGAACTTGAGATTTTTGAGGCGAGCTCTCAGCACCTTTGAGCGACGACTAGTACGATCGCTGATTAACTCCTTTATTCGCCCTCACGTTGAATATGTAATTCAGACCTGGTGTCCATGGTTCAAAGGAGACATTCGCCTATTTGAACAATCCCAAAGAAGAGCCACAAAGGCATCGCGTGGACTAACTGGTCTAAGTTAAGAACTGTCTTCGTGTACTCGATGTGTTCTCATTAGAATGCCGACGGCTTCTCAGAGATCTTACTCTCACATACCAGCTAATAACTTAAAGTGAGCATCCATGTACATCACTATTGACTCTAGCCCCTTACAAACAAAGCCGGCAACCACCTGAAACTAATGACGCAATACATCAGTCTGAATTGTAGCAAGTATTTTTACTCACTTAGAATCTGTTCTTACTGGAATGCTTTACGAAAATAGGTGGTGAACACACCAGACATAACGACATTCGGAAGACTCTTAGACTTTCATCTTAGTGATAAGCGATGCACAACAGTTTGATAATGTGCAATGGTGTAACCACTGATACTTTACGTTCCATGTTGAAACACTTCTACTTTAATTTGCTTTTGCATATCCGTCCTGTGGGTCTTGTAAATTTGTGCTCTTTATCCCATCATAAACTACGGAACTATTGAACTATTATCCGAATTAACGATGTTTTCGGCGTCACTCATTCCTTCCACCAAGCTCCACAACGGTTTTTGACTAAACGCATGGCTGATAGTTTAACCAACAAGAGCAGTGCAACCACATTATGAACTTCAATATCTACGAGGCGAACTGGTGTGCGAAGAAGTTACCTTCTCTCCTTCTTTGCTATATGGATCCGAAGTTTATCCCCGATGTTGCTGCCTGTTTGATTCAAGAATGGACAAAACTATATGGTTTCCCGGTAGACGGCAACACCGAAGGTGCCCCCAAGTCAAGTCAGGTACTAATGCTCTTTGGTGCACTCAGTTATGAATTTGCTGTCCCCTTCAACGCTCGACTGCTCCAGTGCAAATTAGGTTGCTGTCCGAATGAAGATTGAATGTTGCCAGCGACAAACAAAATATGTAATCCAACTTTGAACAATGAATGCCTTATGACTGTCAACTGTTGCCCACAGAATCAGGTACCCAGACATACACTCTTCGGTCGGCCATCGCAAGTGTATCCACCTGAGCAATCTGAAGAAGGACGAAGCTGGCTGGTGGAAACAGCGTCGACAGCAATCGTCAAAGGAAATATCTAAAAACCTGACGCAACCATACTGCTAGAAATACACGATGTAACTAGTGTATCGTACATTTGTTCAAGCACAGTTACCCTTAACGTGCACCAAGTTTATTGTCCCAATTCCCTTTTGCTGAACTCGCACTCCCAGTTCCGACGTACTTCCTGTACGTAGACAAAGCAGTTCCTGTCCCTGTTTGTCTGTTGTTTCCTGGCGCGATCTTCCAGTTGGAGCCACTCCACCACAGTCTCGCAACCCCTTTCTGATTCATGCACCAACAAGCGCCTCCCTGTCCTAGTTCATTGTCACACATTGCAAGCTCGTTTGGTGTCCAATTCCCGTGCCCCACTATTGACTCGCTTAAGCCCCAGCTGCCCTGTTCGCTTAGGTTTTATTCATCAGATGTCACTTCGCCAGTGTTGTTATCTTTCAAGTAAGAAAGACCGTGCCTGGGTTATTATGGTGTTGGCACATCCATCCGTGCAGCCTACTTTATCGGTCGAGGTGCGTGCCCTTGTGTGATTAAAGTCCTAACAGTTTGGCTCTTGATTGTTTCCTCGCTGTGACCATGTTTTCTGCATACGTGGGCGTCAGTGCCGACTCATTTGTTTTTCGTACATTCGGATGTTTGCATTATTTCTGTAACGGGTAACTGCGTTTAATCCTCAGATAAGAGTATTGTTAAAATGTATTACAATTATGATGAGCTACTGTTTATACAACAACGCTGTAGTTCGACATTGACTGTGGTTTCCCGAATGTCCGGTAGTCGTATATCAGCTCCTGTCCTTGTCCGTCGTCGAATCCTTCTTGGAGATCGCGGAGTAGTATCCTGCGTGTTGTACAACGATCCTAAGCGCTTTTCTCGTTAACAATTGGTGCTTCAAATGGTGCTTACATGGCTCAATCCAAACCAGCCAATCGTCCAGTCCTGGGGGTAATTGCGAACAGCTACCACAGTTTATAGTCCGTTCCTACAGATGTCATCGGGTGCTCCGTGCATTTTGGATACTCGTTTTGGTTATACAAGAAAAATTTGTTGTATAGTCAAAGTGTGAGACTAAGCTGCACCAAATTATCCTCCACGTATTAGTTAATGCGACAGGATGATATAACTGGTGTGATAGGACACCTCAACGACTTTTTTCGTGATCACCATTAAGCGTTAATGTGACTAACTGTGCTAGATGTTCAGGTTAGAATAAGAGAATTACTAATGACCGCACAAAATTGACAAACCACTGTCTGTCATTCTGTTGGTACGTCAACATTCAATATCGCATCTCGAATTAAACGGATAGCTGTAGAATTGTGCCGACGGTTGTATGGGTGTCTATGGAGTGAACTCATTAAAATGTAAGGTGAATTCAACAAAGCAAACTGGGTTGGCTTCTGCTTTTTGAAACCTAAACATAACGCCTAAAACAACCTTGATCTACTGTATAGTCTAGTAGAATACTTGCGAAACGTTCCCTACTTTTGAATGCGTCCGCAATGTAATATTTGTCCAAATTTCACTGCGTTGTGATCAAGTCCTAGGAATACATAAACACTTTGACGAACCATTCGGCAATTTACACTGGACGATATGGCCACCACGTAAAGCAAATAAACTGTGTGCCCATCAGCTCACCTACAAAAATAGATACCAATTCGTCGGTATTTGTGTTATGTGAATATCATAGTGATTTCACCGATAGACACTTTGCTCGATAATACCTTAGATGACATCCAAAGTAGATCCACAATCAATTTTGATAACCTGTTATGCTCGTAGTGTCTGTTGCATGGTAAATCATTCCTGTAAAAAATCTTGCTTCAACCTTTGACGTATCAGATCAATTTGTTTAGTAAGCTTCTTCTTCTTCCCATTCTGTGCGAGATGTAGAGTGCATGGGTGGAGCACCAGATAAGACATCTCAGATTTTCTGCGGTCCGTGTGCACATATGGTTGTTTACTGATACCTTAAGATCATGCTAATATGCATATGTTAAGGCGCTAAAAGGGATCATAAGGGTGCCACGTGTTAGTAATATGGTTAACTTAACCACAGTTTGCAAAGAAGTTGAGTATATAATGACCGACGTTTAGATACCTCTTTCTTCTACGTTTTTGAAACCACCAGCCACATGAGTTTATTAGTCAGTTCCATACAAAGCTTGCGAACAACCTTTGAAATTCAACTCACTTTGTAGGCGGCTTTAATTCCTCCGTTGTCAGCGATATTTTCTCCCAAGGTCATTTTACCATTGAGCTGAATGAAATTAAAAATTGTATGAACGTTAGTTATCATTATGCCGCCTGTAGAAAAAGCCTCTTGTCATCCCTGTAATATTTTCCTTTTATGCACTTGATTATGTGAATGGCTGAAAACATTGGAAGCTGAAGTTTTCGACGGTCAGAGACTTGCATTACAAGTAGTCATTTTGAAGTTGATCCAGTTGAGTCGAAAATGTCAAGCTACCTGAAGCACGCTAAGGACTGATCAATGTTCTCGCTACATGTCGGACGTGTGGACGGATAAAAACATTAGCTGAGAGATCAGTTACTCTAGATTAACAGGGGAGGTCGGATGTTTACTGTCATACAACTGGCATTATTCTTTGGAAAGCGAAAGCGCCGGTTTTCAACTGCATTCGGTCGAAGGGTACCGAAAATTGCAAAGTACGATTAGTGTTCTGATTTGTTCTTCGAGCTAGGCAACATTGCTTCGGACGTTTCATTACCAGTCGAGGCGAATTCATAACTGCTTTACTACATAGAAGATAATCTCGCTGACTGGCATTGATTGACAAACTAATGAGGTTTAACCTTCATCTTTTCGATTCTTTCCCTGTGCCTACTGCTAGCTCGCTATTCGGTCGCCGGCTGTTTCTGTCTCATTTCTTCGTTACAAACAACGATATTCATCTATTTGGTTCCTTCGATGGCCAGGAGTTCGTTTGCTGTATAGAAGGCAAACGACCGAATGATACTTGAGAAGCACTGTGCCAGAGCTTACTGCTAGTGGCTAACTGCAGCTGAAGTACCCCGAGAATCGCCGGTAATCAAAAACTTGAAAGTGCGATCTCTAGCGATGTCTTTGTATTCGAAAGTTTCTATGTCTTCTAGATTACATGTTGAAATAAATTTTATTTCACTGAACTGGACCACTGTCTACTTTTACTCTTGATTATGACTTTGAGGTTGAGGTGGAGTTTGACAAATCAAGTCACAGGGGCCACCGAGACGCATGAGCAGTGGCCACAGATGGCGACGGGTAGGGAATTCGCAAAGACCAATGCTGAATATTACGAAAGTAAATCATTTGGCATTCCTGTAGAAAGCGAACAAACTCCCGTCACGAATTAGGTGACTATGTTGAGGCTAATATACCATCTCGCAAATAATTCACAGTTTAACAGAATAACTTTTATCCGTAGTGCAACAGCTCGCACCATTGGCGCAAAATTTATGATCCACTAGTCAGACAAATTGCGTCCACGAAGACCTGAGTGCTCAGTCGCTATCAGCAAAGAGAACACCGACAAAAGGCAGCCATGACTAAAGCAAACGCACGTGTGGTACAGACAAATCAATAGAAGCCATGCTACAGAGAACTCAGCCATCCGCCAGTCTAAAACCATTCCAAGTTGATGACATCCATAGTACAGTAGAATTGCTCCATAATGATTTGATTCACATCTATAAGCCAATTGAACGTAGTCCTTAGCACATTTGTATTGCAGCGGGTATATTTCCGCCGCATCATGCGCGCACAGTGCCCTTGGAATTGAAGTAGCCCAAGTCAGCCATTGACGGTATTTATAATAACCTTCGCATAGATGTATGAGTTTGTGGTGTGTAGTGGAGACACGTGGGCGTTCTAGCCTCCTTTCAGCAAGGAATACCTACGCTGAAGCTAGTTCCACGCAGCTTAGGGACACGAGGTCTTCTAAACACGTGGTGCGACTGGGTGCAGGGTTCAGTGGGAGTAAGTGGACTACCAGGCATGGCTTGCGAAGTGCACCAGTGGGGCGGAGATACGAACACGGTAATGCGACACCCCGTCAGCCATCTTATGACCAGTTTGGTACTGTCACATAGAAAAACGCAGGGCATGAAATCAACTTGTATACTGTCTTAATCTTTAGGAATGGTTTACGCTCCACATCCCAAAGGCTGACCACTGTGGCGTGGGAAATTGCCAAAACCAACAGCTATGTAGAAAGTGGATGGAGTGGTGTTATCGAGTGTTTTCCGGGCTGTCTTAACCCTGCCAGGCTGAGGGGAGCTGCTGTACGGATCTGAGGCACAGCCAGAACATCAAACCACTCCTATTCCCATAGCAGGCAGAGACGAAAGTGTGATGACTCAGTACAATTAACTACCTGGGATCTTACCATCTCTAATGCGCCACTTAAAATGACTCTTTTAACCTCCAAGGTGACAAACATCCTGCTGGCACATCGATAACCGCAATCATTGTCCCCTCTCGTAATAAAAGCGAAACCAATCACCCCCTGGCCCAACTGGAGTGACGAAGCTTTCATGTTGAACGCAAAGTGTTTGGCATATAACTACACCATGGACAAGTTTGTTTGATTTGGTATCCTTTTCAGGAAATCTGTACCTTCCTTTGTTTTCCAAATGTTAGGCTTTTGGTACAAAACACCTTTGCGGGAGATGAGGGTGTTGAAGAAGCTAGTCAGAACCTGGACCAACTGGAATGGTTTCATCCAAATAACCTTGTTTCTCTTTCGACCCTGACGTATCCAAGTACTGCGACCACTTGACTAGCTAACTAAATTTCTGTTTTGATATCTGCTGTCCTTCAAAAACTCTCAATGTCCTCGCGGACAGGTCCTACTCCCCCATCTGAAGAGGCTGTGTCGACTTAAGGAACGAGCCTTTAAAGGAAAATACGACACCTCAGTGAGGTCTCTCACTGTTCGTACCAAGGAAGTACTACGCCGTTGCCACCAAATGTATATCCGGTCTATTATTGCGAACAGCAGCATCTCATCAGTATCAAGAGATGGGTCCAACAAATGTTGACCTCTTGCTCGCTCTTCTGTTGCCTAGGAGATTCAAGAAATTATTATTCCTTGTATCATGCTGCCCCATACCCGCTCAAGAGTTACAGTAGCTGCAGTGGCCCGCCTCGTACGTACTGTATGATCATGACTTTACGACAGAAACAGTTAAACTCATACGTGTTTGTTTGACTATAACAACGCATTTTGCTGTGTAAACCACGGAATTTTGCCGGAGCATCTCATTCAAGGAATACATTCCTCCATCATGCAGTTGCTGAGTGGTTATTTCTCTGGGCGCACCCAGATTACAGGAGTCAGTGGCAAATGCTCCTACCCGTTAACCACCAAGTTGGGTGTTTTTCATGGAGAAATTCTGTCGGATTATCACTTTCTAGTTATAGCAGCTCAATAATAGCCTAACAGTAAGAGACGCGTGCTGTAACAAACCAGTGACTACGCAAGTGGTAACAAAATTGCCGCAGTCGTATTTCGGTATTAATGCACTCAGTGTGTCCGGCAAGCCATTTTTTGGCCTCAGTTGGAGCCTCTCAGCTCCCTGGTTGGGGTCCGAAAGACGATGAACACGTTTGGTTGGATACACTTGGTAATATGGCTAGGAGCCGACCTCATTGGCGTTTGTGTTGTGAGTTATTTTGTCCCGCCTCATCCCACTTAGCCTCCTCTTTCAAACAGGATCTCATTAGTTAACATGTGATAATTTTGTATAGTAATTTTTCTTTTCTGTTGCAAAGTAGCCGGCAGATGGCTTACCGGAATGATCCGTTTCCGGTTGCTCAGCTGGCTTGCACCTGTTGCTTTTTATTCCCTTCTTTTCTCTTAGGTATTGCGGCACAGTAGCTGAGGTGCTGCCCACCTCTAGCTAACGTGAACAGTGTGTACTCTCAGTGGAGCACCGCTCAAAATATCTGTTTCACCCAAGGGGCCACTTGACAACCCACAGTTTAGTGGCCGGTTGCGCAGGCCCATTTTGTCTCTTTTTACTCACAAGCACAACATGACATTTGGGCACCACAGGTCTATGTCATTCGTAGTCATTCGCCTGTGACTGTCATGATATCCGGACATACGGAACTTGTCTGAGCAATCTTAGGTGATCTTAACAGTGTTATCTCACAACCGTCGTCTTCCGAGGTTCTTAGTTGGATTTATAAAAGCGATTTCATGTATAAAATTATGTTCACTAATTTACCGCTTCGCGAGCGATTACTTGCAACCAAATGGGCATAGACCAATTCTCATGCAAACGTCTCCGCTAAATCACCATTTAATACTCCCTTTTATTGGTACGTTTATTGGTTAATTTTTGGCTCTTCCTTACCGCCGTCCTACGGACATGTCAAACGTCATCCTTTTGAACCGTTACGTACCACTTGACGATGTGTGCTTGTGGACGACGTGTTCACAGGCCGTTAACTATGAAATTGAGTGCTATCGACCTCGCGGAATTATGGGCTCTGCAGTTTCAACCACCGTAGGAAGGGACCAGCAAGTCTATGCGGTGCATCCACCATAAAAGTAAGCGAGGCTTGTTGTAACAAAGCGGTACCTACTCCCATTGTCGCAGTCGTATTTCGGCATTAGCCCTCCCAACTGACTGTTGCTCAAGACATCCCCCTATAACCCAAGAAGGCCACCTTCCAACCTGTATTTCGGTCGTGCAGGCCGCTTTTGTCACTTTACTCCAAAGCTCCTGTTAACGCTTTGACACCGCCGCCCCCGATAATGCGCAGCCATGCACCTGCTACCCGGACACAGTGCCGTCGAACGCTCGAGCGTTGGTAGGTCTTCCAAAACCTTGGACTGTGTCATAAGATCGCTGACGGCGTGTCGCATTACCGTGTTCGTATCTCCGCCCCACTGGTGCACTTCGCAAGCCATGCCTGGTAGTCCACTTACTCCCACTGAACCCTGCACCCAGTCGCACCACGTGTTTAGAAGACCTTGTGTCCCTAAGCTGCGTGGAACTAGCTTCAGCGTAGGTATTCCTTGCTGAAAGGAGGCTAGAACGCCCACGTGTCTCCACCACACTCCAACAAATCACAAATCTATGGGAGGGTTCTTATAAGTACCATCATTGGCTGATTTGGGCTACTTCAATTCCAAGGGCACTGTGCGCGCATGATGCGGCGGAAATATACCCGCTGCAATACAAATGTGCTAAGGACTACGTTCAATTGGCTTATAGATGCGAATCAAATCATTATGGAGCAATTCAGTTCTACTATCGATTCCATAAATCGGGAATAGTTATTGGTGCACATCAGCTGGGTACTGTCTGGTGGTGGTTGTGCTGGTTTGCTCACCAACTGGCTTTCAAGCGTTGCATTTGATCCTAAGTCGAAGACCACACGGTTCCGCACCTTCGCATACATAGTAGTAAAGATGTCCGGAACCGAAACACGACCCCTGGCTTGACCGAGCACTTTGTGATTGAAGTCTAAAGGGTCTCACATAAGGGTTTGAGCGAGCAACCGGGATGCCCGGTCGAGGCGAGTAGCAGGTGAGACACGGATGACCAGGGTGAACAATGTTGTCACGTGTGGAGTAGCAAGTTGCTCAGAGTACGCAATTCAGTGTGCAGGGTTTATGTTTTGTCTGTCCGAAGGATGGTCATACGAGGTTGTAACTGGTGTGAAGTCATGGCCATTTTTAATGATTTTATTTGAATGTCTTTATTTTTTCTCTTTAATTCCATGTGTGGGTAGGGTACATCTGAAAGTTCTGCTGATTTTGGTACATCGCTTTATGGTGTCAATCGAGACCACTGTTCCTCTTATGGATGATAAATGCTTCTCTTACCTCTACTGTAATCTATATACATAATAATCACTGACATTGTCGGTAGTTCAACTAACATTATCATAAGGAAACTGCACTTTTGGATCGGGCACATTTGTACCAGTAGATACTTTCTAATGTCGGGAACAGGGTTATTGCGGCGCCAGTCCCACATGAACATTGTCAAATATGTGAATACAAAATCCTCCACGTTGAGATGCGTTAAAACGATTCATGCTACTCCGACACTAGTGCAAACTCACACTTGTGTTCAAGACGCTGTAATTGCTGTACTGTTCAATCATGCATTGGGAATTGCGCTCGAATGCCTCTCGGGTCTTGTTGCTCCACCACTGCCGCAGGTTGCCTTGTGCGTCACGTTTGGAACCTGTACAGGTGCAGCGAAACAACGACTAACGGTTTTTGGAAGTTTACTTTGCATTTTAGTTAATCAGCAAACGAGAAACGCAGACATGTTGCTGACGAATATGCATTCCACTAATTCGCTAAGTCAAATGCTGAATGTTAGCTGAGGTAAGATTGAGTTGAATTCCCAGGTGCTAGTGAGCAGCAGCTACCTACTGAATCCAGGTTATATTAAGACTATCACAGAACAGAATTGACTGATGTACGATTACTAAGGAATTAAACAGTTATGGGTTGTAACTCGAATATAAACATTCAAAAGCAATATTATGAAGGACTTGGCTACACTGCCATCTAGCAAAATCGGAGATCTACTTTCAAGTACACACATCTCAGGTGTACACTTGGAATACCAGGTGTAGCCGCACATTCCAGATTGACTTCTAATCAAAATGCAGAGTCCTTGTTTGCAAATGTGTTCTTGTTCACCAGGGTACTCGGTGCATACAGATCTCCGTTGTCTACTAGTGCGTGCATTTAACATGAATTGCAGTATCCACTATTCAGTCTATAGCTCAGGATACATGTATTTGAGGTCAGGCAATGAAGCAACTGGTCATGTGATGCTATGCTCCGGGAAGACGACCCAAACATAATCTCCAGATGGCTAGCCGTGTGCTTCACTTAATGACGCATGCGGATGTAAGTTGGGTTCTGTTCACAATAGCATACAAGTGACGGAGTTGCACACGAAGAAAGGAACTGAGCTATACTCGATGCTAGTTGTGATCTTACCTACATGGCTTGAGTTGTGCAGTCCGTGAAGAAACACTTGTTTCCCTACTGGATTTTACTAATGGATATTCGTTTTGTCTGTGAACTTTTTCGTAATGAGGTGGAGATGATTTCTACCAAGGAATTTCTCCCAGGTTTCAAACTTTGCAAACACAAAGTGCTGGTTCCGAAATGTATCACGCATACACCATTATCATGCAGTTTTTTAAACACCATATGCATTGCTGGCTTAGTGTATGAGATACAATACTCTGGTGGCATGTGCTTGAGCATGTAGAGGGACTATAACCATTTAGTGTCCATGCAAGACTCCCAACAATATGTTGTGGGGGTGTTAGCAAAATTGGCGTTGAGTATTACGTGCTTATCTTTCCTTTGTGCTAGGTACCGTCAACTTTCGATGTAGTCTACAATACTGCATTAAAAATGAAACATTTGTCAGTAAATTCAGAGTAAGCGTAATCTAAGTGGAAATTCATCAAAACTACCTTGAGTTAAGCAGCCATTGAACCTCCGGAGAAGTATTGGACTGTCATTTTATCTTTTCATTGACCGTCAGCGGTGCAAATTTTGGCATTCTAGCTTGGGACTATCACATGTGATCTTAACTTTGTGATTCCGCAGTTTAGACCACCAAAACAACAGATGACAGCCATGACCGATGTAACATCCAAATGGAACTTTCATTCTTTCCCAAAAGGAATTGTTTATTTAAGGAGTTGGTATCACTTGTCCCAACCCTTATCTGCATCATTAAAGAGTAATGTTGTTACTTCGCCCCGATAGAATATCCTTGACTCCCCAAAGTTAGATAGTTCAAGGTTGACAGACAGCCGACTAGAGAAATGTCACGCCGTAACATTTCCAGACGCTGCCATCCATCATCCTGTATATGCACTTTTTCACTACGAGTACAAACCTACTCGTAGGTTATTCACTATCTTTAACTTAAATCATAGAACCAATGTAACACAAGTTTACGTTCCGGCTCCTCTACACAGACCGTGCATAAGACGTTAGGTTCACTAGTCTACTTTTCTCGTTCCTTATCTCTTTCGAGTTACTTAGTGTATTGTCACTACAACCGATATAACTCAGTTACTAAGTGCAACATGGAGCGGCTCAGTCTCCACAACTTTGCATGTTGGTGCGCTTCGAGAACGGATTGGTCCAGCCCAGAAGTGATAGCAGGGACAGCGACTTGAAGAGATGATCGCCCACAGCATCTTACCCTTGTCAGTCGTCGTTGTCATGCTATAGCCCAGTGGTCGTAAACACCAGCTGATCAAAGTGGGTGTACAAGTTTCTGCTCTAAGATAGCAACCAAAATTCGTAATACTGGAGATTCTTAAAGGGACGAAAGGATCATGTAGTGCTTCGCCTGCTATAATTGAGTAGCTGAATTTAGACCTGATTAAGTTATCTTAAGTCGTTTAGATTTTCCATTCACCCGTTGTAAAAGACAGTCATCGTTAGTTTAGAGCCTCTTGGGTGAAAGGATAGCATCATTTCTTAATTCGATGTTATGACCAAAAAGTATCGACCGGTGATGAGAAGACAACCTTATCGTCGATGATATGTGGATGTGTACTGCAAGTGTCGGCGTGCGGATCAAAGGTACCCAAGTTAGCAAAATGTAAACTGTCATACTCACCGTATTGATCAAACGCATGAGTAATCTCGTGGCCCACAACCATTCCGATGCCGCCAAAGTTGAGAGACAAAGGGTGTTTATGATCGTACACTGGATTTTGGAGTATTCCGGCGGGAAAGTAGATGTGGTTCGCATTGTCTTTGTAAAACGCGTTCACAATATGTGGGGATAACTCCCATCTGAAAACAGCATATAATAGGAAATACGTTCAAGAGAGCTTTCAGCTGTGGTCTGCTGTAAAACTGTATGTAGCAATTGAACTGCTCAGCGAAGTTGCTGCGATGTATCGTGACCCAAAAGGAGCTATAACACCGAGATTTGTAGGTAAAAATGTTCATGGCAAACGCTTCTGAAAGTCGTGGTATCGTTCCGCTATATAGGTTAACAAGCGTCCAAACACACGTTTACCCTTTAAGTGGATTTTAGCACCTGCGAACTTTCCACCTAAGATAAGTCTATCAGATCTAAGGAACTAAAGTTTGTGTTTGGAGCACAATGTCCTACCTATTGACCCCATGCCGGCTGCAACGAAGTACAGACCTCTTGATCGTGGTGACGCTGTAGTCAGATTGGGACAGTCAACACAAGATAAAACGAACGCTATTACAAGAAGTGACTTCAAATGTTTCACTGAGTTGGACTTCCTTCGACTACTACGGTGTTACGTTCCAGCAGGTTTAAAACATGAGCAGGGCACAAAGATAGCATGTTAGAATGGATGACCTTAAAAGTACAAAGTGTTATGGCAACCGAGGATGCCTGGTAACTGAGAGACAGATGTCATAAATGTCCATCAGTTTTCTTTACAAGTTCCCATGTAAGATACAGCCAATCGCGTAGGAAGATCAACTAAGGTCCCTCAGCTGTTAGTAACTGAAACAGCGATCTTCCAGGAAGTATAGACTATTGACAACTCATTAGAACACGGTAATGTGACGACCTAACATTATGTATCCAGAAAGCCTTGTTGCGCTATATATTTATACAAGTAAAAGAGTCGGTAGAGCCATTTTGTTTCTTAGCGTGTGTTGCAAAACTCCACCTCTTCAGCGCTTTGGCGAACAGAAAAGGGTGTAGTCAGTCTACTGATATTACACTAAAGAGGAAGCTATTTTTCAAATTGACAGCCGAAATATGGTAAATGGATTGTGCATCATCCAGGCTACGTACAATAATTGCATGCAATCCCCAAAATCAGCAATCAGACATAGTTGTAACCCAGTATAGAATAAATTTGACAGTCAAATGATTTAGCGAATCCTGGTCCGGTTCAATAACTTGAGACGAAGTCTATAGTGTATCTTGAGTGGGTTGAGGTATTTATTATTGGGATAGAACTTGCCGATGAAGGGACGTTTGTTGACGCTCATTCCTTGTGTGATTCAGTATTGTGGGGCTGCGTCAATCGGCAATATTAAACGTCACACTGTTACAAGGAGTCACAATAACGAAACGATCATAAACACAAAATGGATGGAAACCTACTCATCCTTATTCATCGTACGAAGTAGGTTCATGTGATCTCGGAAGAGGGCTTCTGAACACGCCAAGTAGTTCTCCAAATAGGTGTCAACGCTCATATTCTTCTGTTGAACGAAAAGAACATACCGTCTAAATATCCTTGGAATTTAGTGTCATCATCGCGTGTGTTTAACTCTACACAGCATCCGACATTAGTATAAAGCGGGTGGATCTTACTGGTTTTAACTTGGGACTCGCTGATTTCACAGAATCATACAGAAACGAAGTGGATTCGGACTGTATATGTGCGCGCGATAGAAAAGGACGAGAAGAGTATGTGGGGCCACCTAACATGTAAATATTGTGTATGTCCTAGCTACAGTTTTACTTCATGGGGCAAATCAAAAATATGGTTTCATATCAATAAGGTGGCAGGTATGGTAGTTAACTGTAAGTCGAATTGATGCAGTGCTGTTAACTATGAACACACAATGCTCGACAAGCATTGGTGCAGTTTCAGAGTTTCAACCAAATTTACCAGAGACGAGCAAAGCCATCCCCCACCAGGTAACGTAGAGACACAGGGAGACCGTTTACATCTATCCGGACTGATCATTGGCACATGGGAGTACGTATCTACAATCATTTGACTTATAACCAAATATGTATATCATTTGACCATCGGTTATGCTGGTTACCAAGGGGAAGTGAGGTGATCGTATGACTTAGTTGAGCTGTGGCGCATTTTCGAAACTCTTCCTATTATTGGCTAATTGCCTTATGTTGTTAACTATCAGCTAATCCATGAAGAAGATTTGTATCCGGAGGTGGTACATGATGATAAGACTGGCTACATAACTGGCGCGAGACTACATTCACACACATCCTGTCATCGTCAGAAATAGCTAAGCTGCAAGCTTAGTAGTTTAAATCCTTCATGATTTGTGCACTACAGTAGGGTCACGTAGGACGATGCAGAATTCCTACGATCCTCCGACTGGGAGCCAGTTGCTTGAGTTTCGTATGAATGAGGATAGTACTTAGTAGTGAGCTAGTAGTATACGTTTCGACAAGTTATTCATTTAATGACAGTATAGTCACTCAGACTGAATAAGATTGTATTTTTAACTATGAACGATCAAGAATGCCAACACAGAAAATAGTGAAATGCCACAGGGAAATAAATCTTATAAGCTTAATTCGAAGCCATTGCTGTGGCCGGTAGGCAGACGAAATGCAACTAGAAATATCCATGGCCTGACCCGTAAACATTAAGCTAAGTGGCGCACCTCCAAGACTATGTATTGCTCTAAGTAGTTAAGCAGGCCACTTATGTAGGCGGTGTTAAGGTCAGTATGTAATAACCGAATAACTAAAGAAGCGTTACTATAGACGAACTGGATGATTGCTTTGCAAACATGTGTAGGGTATAGGGTGTGAAAGACGCAATGGTAACTCGAGGGCAACTTTTCTGGACTATTGGAAGCATCCCTCCTCTGCAGATAAGATGTTAATGTATCAACGCATGATTTTTCAACAGTGCTTCTCAGGCTGGTGTACATGGGACCACTGACGCTGCTGTTCGCTGTCAATGACGTCTTTCAACGGTTTCGAAGGTTTCTTCTGAGGCAAGCATAAGGAGCAAAGTATCATAGCATTTCGCGCATAATTCTACACCTAGTAAGCAGTATAGCATTTTGCAAACTCAGTTAAAACATAATAATTAGGTGGGGGCTCGTCAACAGCGCCTTCTCAATCAGACTACAATTTGCTAAAAGCTCGTTACCATAACATTGTTCTCGTGTAACGCACTACATTCGCGAAAACTCGGTTTTTCAAGTAGGAATCTGAATAAACACGCTATCAAGCTGACCTAGCAGGATTTAGATTGCGCTTAAATACATTAATGGCTGGCGTATCATGGTTCAGCTAGAATCGATTGTCAAATACAGAGCTTATTATCATTACTTGCACTTGGATACCGCCTCAGCGTATGGGAGTAAATATTAAATTTCAATATAATGGGAACAAACGATCCCAAAAAGACAAAGGCAAGTATCTAGATGGATATCTCAAAGATTGGCTTTGTTAATTATACCAATAAATGCCAATTTCTTCAACATCAATTCTAATACTGTGTCGACATAGGCAGTGGAATCGTCAGTCATACACAACCGAAACCTACGGATGAACAGAATACTTTTGCCATAGGTTGCGCTTTAGATCTGGAAGAAATCTTTCTGATTGCGATAGTCCAAATTATGGTAAGTCTTGCGGTAGGTAAAGTTACCCTGTATGAAAAAAGCATCCTGGAAAGTGGTATTTATTTTTCTGAATGTGTGATACTCTCGCCCAAAAGGATGCCCGCTGTCACCTTTCCTTTTCAACTTCGCTATTGTCGAAGTCATGGAGGTTGCATTTACAGGACATGACTTGGTGTGGAGCTACTCCCAAGAAAACGACTTCTCGACTTGGAGTATGCAGACGACATTGCCCTCATCTGTAACAGCTCCCAGACGTGCCAAGCCGCGCTGGACAGATTAGCACTGGCTGTCAGCCGCTTCGGTCTTTGCTTTGCACCATCGAAATGCAAAGCGTTCCTCCAAGATTGGCAGGGATCGCTTCCTGCGCTGACCCTTGTTGGGGGATCAGCTAGAAGTCGTTCGGAAATTCAACTACCTGGGAAGTTGTATCAGCGCCCTTGGGATCGAAGACGAGATCACGAACCGTATAGCAAAAGCTCGAAGTGATTTTGCTAGCCTTCGCCACCTATGGCGACGGCGCGACATTACTCTCGCCCTGAAGAGTAGAATGTACAATGCAACGGTACGTTCGACCGTACTGTACGGTTGCGAAACCTGGCCCCTAAGATCGGCGGACATGAAGAGGCTACTTACGTTCGACCATCGGTGCCTTCGCAGTTTGGCTCACATCTGGTGGGAACACCGCGTGAGTAACGAGCGTGTTCGACGCCTTGTTTACGGCCTAGGAGAAGGATCTGAACCGCTCAGCACCGTTATTTCACGCACCAGGCTCCGATTACTCGGCCACTTGTTACGCATGTCAGCCCATCGACTTCCACGACGTGCCTTGTTTGCTCACCGGGGATGTGGATGGAAGAACAGGAGGGGAGGCCAAGCGATGACTTGGTCGGGAGGAATGAAGATCCTCACGTCTGTGCTGGCCTCGGTTAGAGCCTCACGGCTCCCTGGTTGGAGTCTGAAAGACGATGAACACGTTCGGCTGGATACACTTTCTGACATGGCAAGGAGCCGACCTCAGTGCCGTTCCTGCTGTGAGTTTCTTTGATCCTCCCCATCCCTTTTAGCCTCCCCCTCCATCCACTATCTCAATTCATGGTGTAAAACATAATAAGTTTTCTTTTTGCCTAATAGCCTTCTGGTAACTTACCGGAACGATGCCTATCTGTTGCTGGTAGCTCAGCTGGCATGCAACTTTTGTTATTATTTTCCTTTTTCATTTATGTATTGCGGCACAGTAGCTGAGATGTTTCCCACCTCTAGCTGACGTGTATAATGATGCTATAATGTTGATACCTGTGCAGCAGTTAAAGGGTTTCGCTCTCCAGCTAATGCCCATGCACTAGGCATCAGCCTTCTAACAGTCTCAATGATGATGGACAATATGGAAGCTTCATGATCGTTCACATTAGACAGCCGTGGTGAATTTGGAACGATAAACGAAGCACGGACTGCGATTGCAAATATTTGACGAATTCCACAATACTGTACAGAGAAATATATTTTCGGTACTAACTAATCTGTAAGTATGTCACACATCTGTAGTAAGGAATAGCCAAAAAAGGCACTCGCACAACTGTGATATACTTGAGGAAGAACATTATCACGATAGATACAAACTGCATACAACTGGATGAGAATGCTGGTAAGTGGGCTGGTTCCTATGTGGAAAGCTGAAAAATCTGGCAACCAGTCACAGAGCCATCTGGTCTAAATTATAGGGGTTTGCGTTTGAAGGCCTGGTCCTATTCGTCATCACTCGGATCCATTTTCCGTAATTTAGACAACGCTGTTAGCACTGTTTGGCTGTATACAGTACATTCAGTGAGTCTGTCCAAAGATAATATCCCGCTTGAGCAGCTTGAAGAACCCGAGGCACCGCAAGTGCATGAGTGATATGTTGACCACGGCTGAGGATCTCCGAGCCGTTGTTGCACACTGCAAGAACCTCTATTCCAGTTACTGTTCAGACCTACTTAACCGGAAACATGTGCAGCAGCTATGACCGGCTTCATAAATAGTTTTAGAAAGAATGTGGATCTCAATTAGTGGAGTAACTAACATGTGCCATCTAGTATACAACTTTTATTCAATTAGTTTACATTAAGTTTATATATATATATATATATATATATATATATACCGCAACTCCTTACACGTATGTACATACAGAGGAGATGGTAGGAAACAATTCGAGACTTGTATCTGAGCTAGAAAACAAACAAATGTTTTGCGACCTTAATATCGCTCCAGTCGGTGGATGATGAAGCCGCCGTGGAACACGGTTGATTGACGACCCGGAACTGTTGGGTGACTTCATAGTTTATGAATCCATAAAATGTGGAGCAGTGAATTCAGTTTTCACCTGCCAAGTTGTCCTGAAAGTATTCGGTAACCGCATCCAAAATGTATTAAAACTGATAAAGTAACTTTTACACGGAAACATTGATTAAGAAAGTTTGGAAACACATTAAGTTTCAACGGCAACGGATCTAATACGAAATTACTCTCATTATCTTCCCCCGCGTCTAACAAGCTAGGTAGCACCATAGATTCCTCTGTTGTTCAAAACCGCAATGGTACTAGCGTTTAAGCATTGTTTACCAATTATCTACTTGGTCTAGACTGTTACACATTTTGGTTAACCCGCTAATTGAGATTCATATCTTTCCAAAACTATATATGAAGCCGGTCGGAGCTGCTGCACATGTTTCCGGTTAAGTAAGTCAAACCAATAACTTGGACAAAAGTTGTTGAGGTACACAACGGTGGCTCGGAGATTCTCCGCATTATTCTGGCGTGGTCAACATATGCACTTACGGGTGATTCCGGTTCTTCCAGTTGTTTAAGCTGGATATTATCTTTGAACGGACTCTCTGAATGTACTGTATACAGCCAAATAGTGCTACCAGCTTTGTCTAAATTATGGAAAATCGATCCGAGTGATGACGAATAGGACCAGGCCATTCTTACTGCCTTCAAGTGAAGCCCCTGCACTTCAGACCAGATTCCCGTGGGACGGGTCGCAATCTTGACATAATTTCGGATCTTCACATAAGAACCAGCCCTCTTAACAGCATTCTCACCCACTTGTGTGTAATCTTCATTTGTATGCATGCTCTTGGTGTGGGAAGTTCTTACTGTCCCCAGCGTAGCAAATAATTCTCGAAAGCTTTCCTTCACTGAGCTTTTAGCTGAATCCACAGATTTGATGCTGGCCTCAATTAACTTCTTCAGTTCACGTGGAAGGCAGGTTTGATGCACCCGTGTGTCTGATTAGCTGATCGTTTATAGCTGTCAAGCGCGCTTGCTCTAGATGGCAGTAGCAGTATCACGCCTGCAGGCATCGGGATTGAATCCGCTTGCCTTTTCTTTTATGTTAGCTTCTCCGACGATAATCACAATCCTAGTGTTAAATAGAACTTGGCAGTTCATTATGGTAATGCGTTTCAGAGATGCTACAGACTTTTGTGTCATGGTATGATAAGGTTCGCGGTAGACAACCAATGAGGAGAAGTTATTGCCTTTAATGCAATTTAGATTGAAGAAACATTTTTAGCGCTAACAATCTGTCTTTGCAAATCACATACCTTGTTAAACTCGAATCCCCGACTGCTACATCTGCTGTCAAAATGCAACCACATGGCGCCTACTTCGTCCTCATCTACAGATGACAAACAGGTATCGTCAACCATTCCTTCTCATGTGGGTAAATTTTATGGAATGTTGTCACTAGCAACAATGGTCAGCATAGTTTGCCAACTTACAATGGACGCGTACACACGTGTCTCTTTCGCGATATCATTGATATCGGGTGGATATCCAACCGAAGCCTTCATGGTATCCACCTTTTCAATCGCTTTGACTTTGTCCTCTTCTTGCATCCATTCCACAGTGGCAAAATTTTCTTTGAATGCCTCACGAATCTCGGTAATCATTTCGGTCGCCTGGATAAAATTGAAACAGTAGGCGATTAATAGGCTCTGTTCTACTATTGTGCGGCATTTCAAATAAAATTGGTATTCATCTTTTTAAGGAAAGAAACTTGTTAAAGTCATTAGCAGTTTGAACAAATTAGAGTGACTTGGAATCGCAGCGTGTGGAAACACCAGCAGATTGCCAATAAAAGGATGCCATTCTAATTTTGGTACTAATTATCTATTGATCCGGACCACTTTAATCAACATAATTGGATTTCGACGGTACGTGATTCAACATGGAACAGGTTAAAGATGCTTTTTGTGGCGAAAACTTAAATTGGATTACCTCCTCTTGACTCCTTCACAGCGTTCTTGCCCCTAGAGTTCAGATGGATACTCTTGAACGGGAAGGTGGTGGGATACAGAAGAGTTAAACGAGTCAAGTGAGAATTAATTCTTCCACAGCGTCAACAATTAAGTATAACAATATATATGCCACTGTTATTCATGTCTCTGTACTCAACGCTCACAACAGTAGGATTTTAATGTACATGCTCATTATTGCTGAAATGTAAACAGACCAATATACCTAATCCATAGAAAACGATTCCCATCAATTAACTTCTAACGTGTATTCATTCGCGCTTTAACGTACACCCGCAACTGTTGCTAACTGTCGGTAGTTCTGCAGTTGGAACTGGCGATGGACTCCTCACGTATGGTTGCTCGAAACAGAGCTGGGTACTAAAACTCCACTGATATTGTTAACAAGCCCTTTGTTGTATACTCGTGCAAGGAAATCGAGCTAGTAAGCTGCAGTCGTTCAAGTCACTGCGCATTTGCGCGGCGTTCAAACCAATTAGTCGGTGGAACTGCAAGCACGCAAGAAATAACAGAACTTAAATCCATTAGTTACCCTCAACAGCTTGAAAAACACAGTGAGAAGACGAATATTGGCTAATGAAAATATTTGGTATTGCCTCTTCCGTACCGATAAAGACAACTTCAAATTATATGAGCTTGTAAAGTGGTAGCAACAAGCTTACAAACAAACAAGAAGAAAATGGAAATTGCGCCTATACGTCCAGCACAAATAGAGGTTGGCCGATATTTGCTTTTGCAGGCAAAGCAACGGCTTAATTCGGTGTATCACAACAGCCACAACGGAACGTTGGAGATGGAAGTGACATGTTATAGAAAAGCCTTGAGTAACGTGATGACCTAATGTCAATAAGTACTTACTGATCGAAGATGCTGGCGGCCTGCGTGAAGGCGTAGCCGAGATCGGCGTGCCATTTGCGCATGCTTCTATTGTGCCCAGTTGGCAATTGTTTCTTCATTTACTAGCTGAGTCCTATCGGTTCTGTGTATGTAACTAGCTGAGCAGTTACGTGCGTACACTATGAGAGTCGATTCCCAAAGGTCTTTCCGTCAGTTGGAACAGTGAAACTTGTGGCTTAGATTAATGACGTTAAGATCGGCAGCATAAGAGATCAGATACCTGGTAGTCCTCAGGGCAAATATACCTCGTAAAGTGCAGCTCTAAGAAAATGTTTTTCTCTACTGCGATGAGCACTGGATCTCCCAATCTGCTGGTTTAGCTGTGCTTCTTGATGAACATCTGAGGGCAACAACTTGCAGTTATTGTATTAATAGTCAGCTGCAATTCCTTGATTAGACAGTTAGACGAACATGTTAATCTGGTTAAACCAAATGGGGTCTTCGCAAGCGTCCGCTCAAATGAGAGAAACATCAAGATATAACCATATGGCGTTTATACTGTTGCACTCGGGATTTTTCATCTGATATGCCTCGTTCTAGCATCGGCGTAAAAGGATCTGACAGTATAGGACAAACTTGAATGACCATAGCTGCCCCACCAGTTTGTCGGTACGCCATCTAGAATCGTAGCAGCCCGCTGCATACAGCACTCTTTCGTTTCACCTGGGCCAGTGCCTTATCAATAAAGTGGTTGTTGGTTTAACGCGGATGCATCCTAGAACCGCAATTGGATTAGCAGCATCTGTGTCTGGATTTGAACGTCACTGTGGCCCACACAGCACACCTGCCCCCACACAGGGAGCATGGGTGGCATGCACCACACCACCCACGGCAGTAGCTAGCCCCTACATGCTGTAAATGAAAGTCGCACATTTCAGCACAGACCCATCACGATTCTTCTGGAATTTTAAGTTTAAATGTGTCGATGTTTGTCGCTTCGGATCTGTTATAGCGGTAGTAAGAAAACTACGTCACTCCCCGTTATTTTGTGACTTTGCCCCACTCCCCCCTATTCATCCCGCTTTCTTTGACGGTTCCCTTCATGTGTTTTCGCTTTGACTGACATTTGGGATTAGCTTGTGTTGACGCTGGATCTCATGCTACGTTCGTGTGCTTTCAGATTGCCGGTAAAAACGACATAACACACGTAGCCGAAATCGCATTCTCCATGGTCACGTTTACACATGGATTTTGCTGGACCCGTGGAAGGAGTTACTCGTGGACCCCTATAGTAAGTGGACAGAAGTCATTGTGATGAAGAACTCGTTGGCAGTCAGTGCACTTAATGCGTTAAGGCATATGTTCAGTCAATACAGAGTATTAGAAAATATTGTGTCAGACAGCGGAACGCAGTCCATATCTTATCAGTTTACCGAAGTCTGTGCACCTAACGGAATTCAGCACATGAGGATTACACCGTATCACCCACAATCCAATGGGCAGACGGAAAGATTTTTGGACACTGAAACGAGCGCTGTTGAAATCGAGGGGGAAAGGAACACTGAAGGAAAGGCTGGAAGAATTTCGATCGAATTATCGGAGTACCCTGAGCCCCAATGCACCAGATGGGAAGTCACCTGAGATACTGATGGGTCAAAGGCTGATGACCACGCTGGATTTTTTGGCACCTAAACGCCCACCGATACGCCGCAATAACTCTGTGATGGAAAACCAGTACAAACGACGACATGGAGCCCCGGTGTTTGTTACTTCTTCGCAGGGGTACAGGATCAAGTGGATACCTTAAATATCTGGCGACGTCGTGCTCACGTGATATACGAGATCCGCGTTGGTATGGATCCGCCATGCCAATCAAATGAAGCCGCGCCACGTGGATAAAACTGTGACATGTGATACTAACAGAGTTGCTCTTACAGAACTGCTGGATGGTAGTGAGGTGAGTGCTTTTGCCAAGGAGAACACACAGTCTTTAGAACGTTCAGAGAATGCAGTGTCTGGGTTGGGAGGAGCAACATCGAACCACGAATTCGGATACGGTCCTTGTGATCCTAATGACCGAGGTCTACTTCAAAGAAGGCCGAAGTCTGAATAGTGATTGCGAGTCGCATTCCAGCCACACAGCGGGTACAACAAATACCACTTGGTAAAATGAGGAGACCAGTGAGGAGGTTCGTTCAGCCATTCCAAGTGGACGACCGGCGGAAGAGTTATGTTAGCTCAACATGAACATGAATTTGTTTTTCAATAAAGTAGCCGTCTTATATCGGTGCTAAGAAAACGCTACCACTTCGTTGTTTATGGAGTTTGCCTCACTCACCCCCATTCACCCCGCCCTCTTTACGCTTCACCGCATACGTTCTTTGTTTGCCTCACCATTGCGATTAGCTCGTATTGACACTGAATCTGATGCTTATTAATTTTTCTCTTACTCTGTGTATTTCGCTCGTTCATGAGTCACCTTATCGACCTTTCGCCTTTGAACTGACCATCCTTGATTTATGGAATGTCAGCCTTTTATGCATAGCCTGTGTACATACTCTAATTTGCTTATTCACTTAATTCGTTTACACGGAGCTTGGCTGCCCGATTCGGTCCGCGGCGAATGACATTGTTTTGTGCAAAACTTGCCGTTCGTGTTCACAGTACCGTTAGTGGGCGGAAGCAGTCGTGGTGCCGACTCAGTAGGATCGCAACGTCCTTATTACTGCGTAGGTAAACAGTTACATGACTCTGAGCCAACCGAAGCACCAAGGGTTCGCCTGCATACAACCGAAACTTACCCCTTTCTCTTATGTAAACCCAAGGAAATAAGTTCGACGATCAATTGAGTCAGGATTACGACAGTTTTTCAGACCCACCACACTCCGCCCACATGCAAGGCCCACATGGATAGGGTTACGCACATATACACTACCGGTGAGCAATCTCCGCACCCCTCAGGGCACTTTCACTCACATGACTTCATGGTGAAGTTTGACCACATTGATCAATAACGAAACCGGAGTTAGTTCTAATTTATCCCTGTGCACTTTTGATTTATGAGTTGATATCAGAATGCGGATTCACGCGTTTCATCTGTGTCAGTACTTTTATCTTCTAAGCACGAATTGAGAATGCGTCATATATGCGTTACGGGTGGTAGAATATGTGGGAAAGCAAGAATAGCAATAGCGTTACGTAGTCTGTAACTCGAAAATGGACGACGATTAGGGGACGTAAATACTGGACATCCAGATGGGAGGATATTATTGTCTGCCAAACATCCACTAGGTAAACCCCACATGAGTATCCGGTGTGCAAAAGCAGTGAGTAAAAAACAGGAAACGATATCTTTTCCGGCACTGTCGTGCTCAGTCTGTATCCTACATACTCTGGAATGGTTACTGCTTTCATAAAGACAGACTCCATGGTGAACATAAAGTGATTGGAAGCCAGTAACTTTAATCTTAGCGATCGAAACATTGCTTATGAATCTCAATCAGTCAGGTCGATGTATTCTTAACCGCTCTGTCTTGCCCAAGCACGGTGAAAAGACAATAGCGATACAGTATACTCTACAATGCTTTGTCACCAAAAACAAATTACTAAGCCCAAGGTGAAAAATAGCAATGGTTTCAAAGCTGGATTTGAAGTACCCGCCGTGTGGTTGGACTGCGACACGCAATCTCCATTGAGACCTCGGTTAACCATGAAGTAGCTCTCGGTCTTTCCGATCACAGAAACTGAGGTGATTCGGTGTTGCTCCGCCTTACACTGACACGCAAATGCAACTGTGAATTCCTTAC